TATATAAATAAATAAATAAATAAATATATATATATATATATAGAAATGATTGTTGATGACAGTTCTACTGCCTACCGTTGCATTAGTCATTCATGCAGACTTACCCATCTGATACCGGCACAGTAAACAGTCTCCTCGTGTTTTACGAATAACTGATCTCGCGACAACATGAACAAGACTTCTTCCAAGGGCAGAGACAGAAATTCCGTCAAGTTCGACACCTGGGAAAAGTGTGTGTTGATATAGCGGTCACAGGCGTCAACTAATTTCTGGCAGGCAAATGATTTCCCCAAATCTCTCAACGTTAATACGTTCGAAAGGCATATGCGATTTGCCAAGAAATCCGAGCATGCGCTGAACACACTTGTCATTTGAAGAAATGATGACGTCACAAATAATGCCTGAACATTCGTCGTAGAAATCTTTAATCGTCCAGTATAGGCAAACGATACAAGGGCGTCAAACGCATCAGGGTTTGCATCCTTCATAAAAAACGGAAATGAATATGATGAACAACTGAAACCAAAGTACAAAAGTGATATATATACAATAAAACAATATAATAACAGAGCAATAAATCGGCTATGCGTTGTACTGCTCAATCAGACACATCTTTATTGCTGTTTCGGTTAAAATTAAGCCTATATTACGTACGTCACAACGACTAAACTCTAAGTATATTTTCATATTAAAAGAGGACTAATTACGAGATAAAACTGTCACCACAATTACTTCGAAAAATCTATAAGTTTAAGGGATAACTCAGATAAACTTGGTTATCAAACAGTTAGCTGGTTTAGTGATGAAAATAGACAACAGATAATTTGATAACTCCGTTTCACTGATAAAAATGTAGGTCTCCAGTATTACGGTATATTTGAAGCGGAAAACGAACCAGCTTTAGGACAACATTGCAACGTGCTTTTATCGTTGAAGTAATGATAACTATATCGACCACGACAATATGATAATAGTAATCATGACGATTGCAGGTGATCAAAAAAGACCGTGAATAAAGTTTGTAACCGCTGAAACGCGGGTTTTCCTAACACTTGCATGATTAAGTCAATTCTAGCACTTTTGTTTTCATGAAGTTAACGGTGTGGGCGCTGATTTCCATTTCCCTGTCATCAACTAGCAGTGTTGTGCCTTATTTTCAAACGCAGAATCGACAGCAACTATATGACAAGCATATTCCGTGCTCTTCTGAATCCCTCCCACTTATTAATTAACGCAGAAAGGAATAATGGCGAGCGATCACGACAGAGGTTCCAACTCAGGTCAGTCGACCGAGTGACAACGGTCTAAAGCAAAGTGTAGTGAATTCCTTGTTCAAGGAAATTCGTGGTAAATAAAAGACTGACCGTGGCGGCGATCGATCGATATCGGCATATCCGAGACCTCATACGCACTGTGACACTACGCCACAAGGTCGCAAACACGGTAATATCTAGGGTGATGGTGAGGATGGCAAGATGCAGATGGTATTAATAAAGACAACAATCATCGCACTCAGAAACGACCGTCCAACAATCGACCTCAGAACGCACATACCTTAATTGTTATTTCTCGAGAGAAGTTCTCACTCATTTGGTTCAAAAACATTCCGTCGAAGTACGGGATGATGGCAGCCAGCACCAGACGATGGGCTGATATCCTGCGTCCACAGACCTCCAGGGTTACGTCGCATAGCTTGCCCCTGCGACGGATTTCTTCGAAACGATGAAAACCGATCGTAGCCTGAAGCTCTTCGACGAACACGGTTTCGTCGGCTTTGTCGTCCCATGTACACTTAAGCTCTTCGTGGTCATTCATGAATCGTCACATCTGAAAGAGCAAATGTTTCGCAAAGAAAATCAGCGAATTTCGACTATCAAAACAATACTACAAATGCACATAATACTACTAATAAAAATTACCAAGTCAACGGTATCAAATGGTTCACAGTCGGCCTGGAAGAAGAAGCTGTGGCTCTTACTTCACTAACTATTAGTTTCTGCATCAACAATTAATATTTTTGCTTCCCAAGCAACAGCAACTCCCTCCATTGAATCCATGCAGAAAACTAGGGGCAAAACAAGGCAGTGATCGAAGCAAGACCGAGATCGTTCGACCTCGTTTGCGAATAGCACGTGCCATATGGCATGGCTGATTAGAATACGACAGTACCTTCAATGCTCCATCACAAACCTCAGACAAATATCAATTAGTCGATAAACCACTATATTAAGTTGCGTAACAATTAACGTTTTGTGCATTTTCTTCAGCATGGTTAAAATACTTATGCTTCAGAAAGAAAGGTTATTCTTGCATAAGAAACATGGTGCTACACTGAACATGATTTTCAAAAACAAAAAACGAACTCCAACAGAGCTTGAAAGATTTTGAAGGAAACTAGAAGCATAATATGAGGAACTATGATTGATCAGATCCGCATTCAGCACGAATTCTATCGAAACACAATGCAATAATCGATACTTTGTATCAGCATCTTGTAACGGCAAGCAAAAACAAAGCCACAACATGAAAGCTCCTAATCATGCCACATTCGCTAACTCAAACGAAGTAATTAAAAGGAATTGCAGTCACAAATACATGTCACTCAAACCAATAAAAATATAATACCTAGTTTGAGGCGAATCAGACATAAGTGGTTGACCGGAAACCCCTCTAAAACTGCATAGAAAGCCCTGCCACAGAGTCAATACTCAAACGCAAGGAAGATAGTTTTCAAATTACAAAATATAATTTTAAGTTATTCAAATAACTAATGGGAACTGTGCAAAGTCGACGATCCGCACCTGCACCTCACCTACTGGCAGCCGGAGCATAACAGAACAACGGCTGCCGGAGCTTGACAAAAAAAGGCGAAGATACCAGCCAGCAACAGTCGGAAGAATACAGCGTAATGACGTTTTAGAACGTCACAAAAGTCTTCACGGGAACGAATCCGCCAGTGGGAATTTACAGTTGGAAATTGGGATGTATTCTCACTCAGAGGGAGAGGGCAGGAGTTGGCTGACGAGGCCAAAAGGTAAC